TGGAATATTCATAGTGAGTGAGATAAACATAACTGGAGAAAAAAAAATTTTAAATTTCGCATTAACTAAAACGGGAAACATATAAAACCTTGTATATAAACTTATGTGTAGATATAAGTTTACATAATTGTTGTTATTGATTTACAAAAAATTTAATAGAAATATTTACACGTTCTTGATTTTCAAATTTTCTATTTAAAAAATTTAATAATAACGTATGCCATGATATGATTTTAAATAGAATGACCGTACCGTTAAAAACCTCTTTAGTTTAGATATTTGATAATTATTGATAGTACCGATAGTGCTATGTTAGTTCTACGCCACTAAATTTGATTATAATCACATTTTATATAAATAATTTCATGTGAAATAAGAAAAGTGTTAACTGTATAACACTTGTACAAATTTTTTGAAATATTTCTCATATTTAACCTTTAGTTGTGTGAAGTTTCATTTTTAGATATTTAATAAATTTTATTTTATATGATTAAGGCTTACTATAGAAACATTTTACTTTCTTGTAGAATAGAAATCAAATATTTTTCTTGCAAACATAAGTTAAAATTTCTAAACATAAGTCTATATAAGCACATAACTTAAATTCTAAATTTAAGTTTCTATAATCTATTATATATTCTTGTAAATCCTATCCTCCTATTAATAGTAAAACCCTATTACAGACAGGCAATAATAACATAAAAATTTCTAACAACAATATGCAATAAAATTCTGTAACAAGGAAATGTTTGGTAATTTAAGTGTTATAAACTACTATAGTAGTGAATGGATTTTTTTTATTTTAACATTCTCAAAACTTCTTTAATTTACATATATAATTATTAAAACATTTTTGTTTTTTATTTTTTGAATTTCATGTATGTATGTGCTGTTGAAAAAAAAGCTACCACCTGAACCTACAACATGCTGCATGTCTGGCTGTGCTAATTGTGTATGGATTGATTATGCGGAGCAAATTATTAAAATGTGCAATATCGAAGGGGATGATGCAATAAATATTATTTTAGAAAAAATTTCAGATCCAAATCTGAAAATGTTTTTAAAATTAGAATTGCAAACTAAAATACCAAGAAAAAGTTAAAATTTCAAAAAATTGTATCCATAGTAATGTGTAAACAATTGCACATTTTTTTTTGTTAGTAGATTCAAATTTAGGGATATTTCTTTTTAAATTATTGTGTTTTATATAAGCCAAAGTTATTATACAATATTTTATACAGTTATATTTATTAGTTAAATCTATATGACGTTAAAAATTAAATTGGAAATCTTTTAAGAAAATATTGTATTATTTGTACATACACATACAACATTATATAAAAAAACATATTATAATTTTATTATGAAAGAAAATATGTAAATAAAAATTTCAATAAATATTTTCCGGATTCTTAATATTATATTAAATTATCATCAAAAGATTAAATCAATTCCACAATAAATAAAAAAAAAGGTAATAAATCAAGTAAAAATAAAATTTCGAAAATAAATTTTATCAATTCATCCGTACTAATTCTATCGATTCTTAACCAACCAGGGATGTTGTATTAAAAAAAAATATTAATGTACGTATTTATCTTCCTTCCATTGGATTTTTTACTTTTATATACTATATGTATATACTTATGTAAATATATGGGTTATTTTCGAAATCACTTTATCGGGTCATAAAAAAATTTCATAATTTTAACCACAATATTTCAGTTTCATGCAGAATAATTTTTAAATTGAATTGAGTTTAAAACCCGAGCTGAGCTTTGAATATAAAATATTTGCTTCCAAAAATTTCAGAAATGCGGTATAATAAAACTCACTAGTTGTTATTGCTGAATTTTGAAATTTTGAAACCAGGGAATTTCAGAATCAGGTTCAAAAATATAGTGTACGTTGTGGAGTCCAATGATAACTAAGCTTTCTTAAGAAATCAAATTTGAAAAAGGAAATAATTTTGATACCAAAATATGTTTGGAGGCAATTTTGTTGGTTGACTGGTTGACCAATTATTCATTTTCACTTTGTTGATGGGAACAAAAATCCGTTCCTCCACGGAAATATCCATGGCTGAGCCACACCTAGCCAAGTCATTCGCCCGTACATTTCACGCTATATTGTCGGTGGCTCGGTACCCAAAGGAGTGTTTGCGAGCGAACAACATGGTTGCACAACTATGGCAAGCGCACAATACCACTGTAATTTTGTACTCTAAAACAAAATATTCATTTCCTTCTACAAGTTGTCCGGTTTATATATATTTTTTACAAAAGAATACTAACCTTAACTTTTTGTCCGTTTTAAATAAATAGTGTATTTTTCTTTAAACGGACAAAAAATTTAAAATTCGAATTTTTGTACATCTGGAAAATTTCTCATTAATAAAAATAATAAAAATGAATAAAATAAAGTTGTAAATCTTTACAATACTTATATATACACACACACATATATATATATATGTATATATACAATGTGAAAATTTGTATATATACATAAACTCTTATAATGTCCTATCTATAAAGATGACTGCGATATATATGACATGCTTTCAGTTATATAAAAGATTTTTAAGGACACAACTCGCGACATAAACTGAAACACATACATAATATACATGTATATATATGTGTTTGTCGATAATAATTTACTTTTATAGAAAATATGTATTTGTATGCTTTAAAATAAATAGTAAAAATATTGAGAATCGACAATTTTCATAAAATATACAAGTACTTAATGGACATATCTATAAGTATTGCTTAAATTTTATGTAAAAAAAATTAACCTGGGAATATTTGATCAATATTTAAGATTCTGATTTTATTATGGAAAAACCAACTGTCCTGCCCTTAAAATCTTAAAGATTTAATTTACTTTTTAATGTTAAAAATGTTTTCAATATTTTTGAATTCAAAATATAATGCATCAGATAAACATATATATTTTGAACAAATCTTAAGGTTTAATTTTAAAAAGGACCACGGCAGCTTACCAAAATAAAAATTTTATGTTAACTTGACTTTTTTGAATTTTTGTTCTATTTGCAGAATATAATATAAAATGAAATCAATTCAAATTGGCGTTTTGTTTGAGGTAACAAAATTAAGTTAAAAATTTTTACAAGAAAACAAATTGTCACGAAAACAAAGTGATAATTCAGACTGTATTTGAAGATTCTGTGGTTTTAGTTTTTCAAAAATGCTTTACATTAACATCCAAGTTGAAACGGACTTTTCGAAAATCCTCTTTGATTTAATTTTTTTTAAATGTTAAAATTTGTAGGGATTTGCCTTCATTTTTAGTACTTTTACAAAAAACTCTTGAAAGAAAGTGCTTATTAATTTTCCTCAGTTTGTCCGTCAGTCCGTCCGACCGTGGACATGTTTACAAAACTTCTACACCCTTGAAGATAGAAAGCTGCAATTTTATACGTACATAGATCTTTACTAGAAACTTATTTCTGTAGAACAAAATTTTTACCTATCTCCCCCCCCCCACCCTCTAGAAGTTATACCCCCCCAAAACCATAAAAAACAAAATTGCCGTTCAAATTTACAGTTATCTAAAATCACTTTTTTTCTCAAAATTTTTGATGTTGGTTTTCTTCTAGACCCCAGATTGTGAGAGCCTGAAATTTTAGCAGCTTTTGGGCACTACCAAATAGTTACATACATATTGTATTTTATTTTATGAAAATTTTTGAACCAAATTTAAAAAAAAACAATAAAAAACAAATATTTTTGAAATTGAATAACAAATATTTGGTGGGAAATTTATTCAAGAAAAAATTTTAAATTTTTTTATTTTATTACTTTAAGTATAACTTTTACATAAAATCTTTTCCAAATTCATAAATTTATATATGGTGTAGGCGAAAACCAGTAAAGGTTTTCTGTGAAAATTAGCTTATCGAGGGCTAATGGGAAAAATCCTGTATCTTATATTTTGAAAATTTTTAAATAATTCAAAAAATATAATTTCTCATTGCAAATACTTATATAATATGAATTTATCAGATTTTTTTATTTATACAAATAAGTGATATATATATATACATATGTATGCAGTTATTTGTGTAAACATTAAACATTAAACGAGAAAATTATGTACAGAGATTGAAGTGCATAGTTCATATTGAATATGTATTATAAAACTGAAAAACAAATACATATTGAAATAATAATTTTTATGAATAACTTGTAAATTATAGAGATTTGACTTAAAATAATAAAACCGTATTCAAATTAAATTCACTAATTCGTTGCGTTGGAGTCGAAAACACATTTCGATTACAAATACAATAAATTTCATATTCCATATAAAATTTTAATTTAGACCACGAAACAGTGACTAAAGCTTTCATTTTGATTTATCGCAATATTATTTATGTATATAGTCTCTGTAGCATTATGTATATAGTCTCTTAGAGATGGTGTTATTTCCCCATAAAATGATTAGTATAATATCACTCCTAAACAGGCAATTTATTTTCATAAGAATTAAAAAAATGTTATTGTTAAAATGCACAAAATCTTCTTTATATTTAAATTATATTTATTTATAGCGAATTAGTTCGAGACCATTAGAAAATTGAATAATAAAATTTTTTAAATGATTAACTAAAATATTAATTCTAATAGCTCATTTACTATATAGTATATATGCACAGCAAGGTAAAAATCCAAGAGTAAATCTAAATCCACTATAGATAGAATAAATAATATTTGAGTTGATTTCAAACTTTTTAAATAATTAATAATAATATAACAAATTTTGCACCGTATGAAAAATAATTGCAGAAAAAAAAAGAATAACCATAAATTGAATACTTAAGCGGAATGCTATACTTGAGTTTAAAAACTTAATTTTTATATTACATAGTTAAAAAAATTGTATTTTTCATTATTTAATTTATGTGAAAACCTGACTGTGAATCCTTTGGCTATATAAAAAAATAATAATATTATCATAATTTTTACACTTACGAAATGCTGAAAGTCCGGCGGGAAAATGTCCTTCTGGAAAAGTTGGAAATGCTTTCTGATTTGGAAATATTTGAAAATTAGTTGTTCCAGAATTCGAATTAAAACCAATTCCTTCAAAATGATTTTGATTAAAATTATAAATCCGCTCGATATCATATTGCCTTAAATATATATATTTATATATGTATAATAATAAATCAGTAATAAACATAATGAAATAATTAATCTTAATACATTAAATTATACAATTAAATTTTTATTATTTTTTATCTATAATATAAAATTAAGAACTCCTTATATTTTTTAAAATTATTAAATTAAATATAAGCACCTTTCATCTTCATTAATTGGAGATACACTATTTTCACTTTGTAATGAAGAATTTTCATGAAAATTTTTCTGTTGAATATCAATTATATTGTTATCCTTTTCAAAATCATTATTATTTTCATTCACCGAATGAGTTGTTGTATTTTCCAAATGCCCATAAAGGCGTTCAAAAAATTGCCTTGGCGAAGATGGACGATTTATTCCTATTGTTTTAATAATTTTTGAATTTGAAGTGTCTGACATTTTTAGTTTTATATTTCTAATTAATTAAGTTTTAATTAAATTTTAAAATTTATTTATGTTGCAAGTAAATGTTGTTATATAAATATATTTAAATAATTTTCAAAATCTGCACATTGAAAATTTCCGATATTCTTAACCGATAAAGTCCTTACGGAAAGACTAACAATTCGTAACTGATAAAAAGATATAAGTATACTAAAAGATTTTTGACACTTTTATTGATAGTCCTTCATATCCTTTTCCTTAAATTTCTTTTCCTCTTTTCTTTTTTTTTTACATAAAGCGTGATCATGCGACATAAAAAACTAAGGTATATATGAATATTTTTATGATGAAAAAAACGGGCTTTGTGTGTATTGTTTTTTATCACCTTAATTTATATAATATGCGCTCATCACTCATTTTCAATGTCGTGTATAAAAATATTTTTTTTATGGTTAATAAAGCTTAAAGGTTTTAAATTCCTCCTATATACATAACGACATATTATATATAGATATATTCGTATATTATTTGATATTATCTTAATATACATTGATAGGGTGATAGAATGCAAAAGAGAAGTAAAAAATTTAGTTTCCTTTTGATGCCATTGGTAATTAAAAATAGTTTGGTAAATTGTTATTGTATTTAGATATGATTGTAGTACAATTTTAAGTACATATATTAAATATATTAACATATTATATAATTAACAAAACCTGAGTTAATAAGTAGAACTTATCATAATAATAAATTAATAATTATAAAGTAAAATAAAATAAAATAAATTCTAATCAAACAAATGGTTTGTAAAGAAGCATTTTTCCCTTGATTCTTCAACATAAGATAAAAATTTTTTTTTAGTCATTAATAACAAAATATTTTATATTTTGAGAAATTATTGCATACGTTTCGGAAAAAAAAAATAAAAATTAAAAAACAAAGTTTAATTAGTTGAGTTACGATAAATGCTTACAATTTTAAATACAAGAAATAAATTTACCGTTACTGTTTTACTTTTTTAGAAATTCGGAAAAGCTCGCAATTTGGAAATTTTTACAAAACCGCTAAAATCTAAGACTAATATAACTTACCGTCCTATAGAGAGAAAAATCGTATTTTTAGGATTTTCATGTTAACAACTTTTAGGAAGGTGAGTGATGGAGAAGGAGTGATAGGGTAGAGGGTAATGGTGGAAAAGAAAAATAGACCTATTCTTCTGAATAAATAAAGTTTCCTCGCAAAGACCCTGAAAGATCTTTCTCTGTCTGAAAGATCTTCAAGTTCTATAAAGAGACATTTTCTTGGAGTAAAATAAATATTTTAAAGGTTTAATACTATACATATAGCATTCATGAGATCTCTATTTCAGTAAAACATAGAAAGGAATACCATTTCACATATTGTTCAAATCAATAAATTTAATATGGATAGCATTTGGATACAATTTGAGAGTTACCTTTAAAATTTTATAAGTTTGCAATTAAGAATTTTTTATGTGGTAACTTTGCAAATCTTTATGCTTTATAAACAAATACCATAATTTTTATATTAAAATAATATAAGAACTATAGTCTTGAGTTCTCAACAAACTTTTGTCTTAATATTTAGATACATATTAGATATATAGATATAGCATTATGTTTATGCTAAATTTATGAGCTTAAATTTTAAATTGTTCAAAAATTTTTTTAATAACCATAGGTATTTTTGCTGTACCTTGCGAAATCTGAAACTTTTGTAACAACTTTTAAAGTGTATTATACCAATATATTATTGCTCATAGAAGAATTTGTCGGAACAAGAAAAAATACAAGATACACACATCCACGCATACGACAAAATTCATAACTGAAAACCAAAATATGCAGGAAAAAAATACAATCATTCAACTATTGATAAAAATCATTTATGTTGCAAAAATTTCTAATTAAAAATATAAATTTTAAATCTTCTAATATATGCGTTCCGCTCAGGATTGGTTGAATCCAATAACATTTCATATAATTCCGTATATGTAAATAATACCTTTATTAGTAATATAAAATGGCGATAATAAACATATTAATACTTACGAATTACGATTGTTTTATATGGATATGTTTTTTAAGTTATAAGTTGAAAATGTGAATGTATAGGTTTATATACACTCTCATACATATATGCAAACTCCACCTTTTTGCGCAAGGGTATAATTATCTTTCATATCCTTATTCTCCTTGTTTATATTAGGTATATAGATTTATAACAGTTTTTAGAATCTGAAGGATATTAAAAAAGGTAGAAATATGTACCTATACGTTACACAGTTATACAAGCAACATATTATTAATATTGTTGCTTGGAATACTGCATTGGACCGATGGTTGACTCAGAATAAAGCAAGTTTGAACTAACATATTTATAATTTTTGCACTATTATACATATAATGGCTTTATATGTATACAATATACATAGTTTAAGCGTTGATTGATTGACTCTTGTTTTGTCGGAGTTTTCTACACAAATTCTTGTTTTATTAAAATAAAACTTACACTAAACACAAAAATAAAAAAAAAATCGAAAAAGTAAAAAAAAAAATAAAAAATTTCTAATAAAAATAAAGTTCTACTGCAGGATGTACGTAAAAATAATTGTTGTATAACAAAATGTAACAATTATTTATAATTAATTTTTTTATTAGCACTTTTCCAAAAATTTTTTGAAAAAAAAGTGCTTATTAGTTTCACTCTGTCCGTCCGTCCGTCCGTCCGTCCGTCTGTCCGTGTGTCTGTTTACAAAACTTCTACATTCTTAAAGATAGAAAGCTGAAACTTAATACGTACATAGATATTTACCAGAAACTTATTTTCGTAGAACAAAATTTTTACCTATCTCCCTCCCTTTAGAAGTTATACCCCCCCAAAGCACTAAAAATAGCCTATTTTAACTATTTGTTGCAATGAAACCATAAGCATTTTTGAAATTTTGCAAACGCAGAATGGCAGTGGCTTTCTTCCCCTAACGCGGTATACTATAGTTAAACTTTAGAAAAACAAAATGGTCGTTCAAATTTACCGTTATCTAAAGTCCTTTTTTTCCAAATTTTTGATGTCGTTTTTCTTCAAGACCCCAGCCTGTAGAAGCTTGAAATTTTAGGGGCTTTTAGACACTAATAAATGCTTCATTTTGTTAGAAGAACATTTTTTTCCATCTCCACCCCCTCTCAAGCTATGGCCTCTTGAAATTTGTAAAATTTGAATTTTTGACACCTAATATTTTCGAAACCGCAAGCTTTTTCGAATTTCTATAAACGCAAAAAGCTAACGGTAAATTCAATGACATTAAAAAATATAATTATTTTTCTTAACTCACACAATTAACCCTTAAAATCGAACATTATGTAAACCCCTCTTTATATTAATTTTTGCTTTATTTCAAAGACTGCATGTATGCATCATCCTAAATATATGCAATCCTATAAATAGCTTTGTATATGAATGAAAATAATTCTAATAGTGTGATAGGTGTACATAGTGTAGTTAAAAGCAGAATTTTCACTTGTTGAAGGGAAAAGTGCTACAATACAAACCATTGGTTTGACCCAGCTTTTTTTTTTATTATAACGAAATTGTTATAACACATATTAGAATTTCTTGCGAAATTTAAATAAATTTACTAAAATAGGTTTTTTTTTTAATAATTTTAATAAAACAAACTTAGGTCCATTCCGTTTCTAGGATTAAAGAACCAGAAATAATGCAGGTATGGGTATATGTATATATATATAGGTATATACTTATTTAGATTCAACTTTAATCAGATAAGTACACTATGTATGTATCTAATTCATATCAATCTAATTCATAACTCTGAAATTACAAATTGTTTCAAAATAAATATGTACTTGTGTGTAACCATAAGGTACTATTGAATGTTATGTAATTTGAAGTTTTATATATGTAAGATCGTTTATTAACTGGTAGACCCCTTAGATTATAATCAATGAGTTCATAAGCAATGTTCTTCTAATGTAAATTAAAAAAAAAAGTTACATGTGTTAACCATTTTTATATTCTAATACGAAATATTATATAATATATAACATATGTACATATGTTAGCACTCCATTATCTATATTATCTTATTTGAATGTATAAAACTATAAATATAATAAAAGAAATCAAAACTATTTTCGTTTTTCATTACGTATTTCTAAAATTGTAGAAATTTTATAGGCTCAATTTAAATGGCAATATGGCCCAAAACGAGTATATACCTTATATGTATGTATATATTTGCTGACCAAAATATTCATTATTACAGATGAATATCTTAAAATAAGAATGTCAAATATTTTTACAGCTTAAGGGACATAAAACATTTTGGTAAGTCGAATACTTTAGAAGCAGATATGAAACTCAGCGAAAAACAATAACATATTAACTTATGTACATTTATGTATTCACATACCCTTTAAAAGTGCCAAGGATTGACGCAAACGTCGAGAAACCTATTAGAGTTCAAAAATATTTTTTAAATACAACTGATATTTTGCCGAGTCCCCTTTAAATTATTATTTGAAAACTGTTCAATTCGAAAAAGTGCAACTATATTTTAATTTCATCAATGTCCTAAATTTTCCCAAATATCAGAATATTTCTTTTCACAATAGGTAACATATTTGAAAATCTATTGTGAATTGTTTTATTTTGAATACTCTAATTTCTGGCAATAATAGAATTGACAATTCCTGAAATTGTCAACATTTACAGCAAAACATAAAAATTTTACTTTAAATTGCATTACTAACATAGTAACATATGTATTTTGTTTTTTAAAATAATAAAATTTCTTTAAAATGGGGTTCTTAACAGTATTAAAAAAAATGAGACAAAAAGAAAAAGAAATTAGAATCTTGCTCCTGTAAGATTTTCATAATCAAAAATTTGTGTTTGATAATATTTTCAGTTTATGAAATTAAATATATGCCTACTTATATATTTTTTTATTGCAAATTGAATTACACAATTTCTTATATTTTCAGAGGCTTGGATAATGCGGGAAAAACCACTATTTTGAAGCGTTTGAATGGCGAACCTATAGATACAATTTCTCCAACGTTAGGTTTCAATATTAAAACTTTAGAACATAGGGGATATACATTAAATATGTGGGATGTGGGCGGTCAGAAATCTTTAAGATCTTATTGGAGAAATTATTTTGAGTCGACCGATGGTTTAGTTTGGGTGGTAGATAGCGCTGATAGAATGCGACTTGAAACATGTAAAGCAGAATTACAAGTACTTTTACAAGAAGAGCGTTTAGCTGGGGCTACTTTATTAGTTTTGGCTAATAAACAAGATCTGCCAGGAGCGTTATCTTCGCAAGAAATTAAAGAAGTAGCGAAAAATTTTTAATTAGTTATTTTAATTTTAAAATGTTAATATTACAGATATTAAATTTAGATGCTATTGTAACTCATCACTGGATAGTAGTTGGAGTAAGTGCTGTAACTGGTGATAAATTATTGTCAGCTGTAGATTGGATGTTAGATGATATTGCAAAACGAATATTTACTTTAGATTAAATAAATATTTTTTTGTAAGAAATCCTAAACTTTAAATATTTTTGAAAAGCATTTTTTATTTCTCGGTAAGATACATATTATATAAATTTTGTTGCTCAGGATCCTTTATGATTCCATCGACTATATTAACTTTCACAATTTCTTTAAAGCCTTCTGTAAGGGAGGGTTCGACAAATTTCTTTTTCATCGCATTAAGTATCATTTCATTAATTTTTGAGTGATCTTTGTCGGTTAATACTCTAAACACCAAATTATGTTTTATGTGTGCAAAACTTGTGTTCATTATAAAGCATCTGCAATCAACATCGTATTTTCTGGCTAAATTTATAAATTTTTTTCTTGATTCTAGGTCAATATTGGTGTTATCAATAGCACAACTTTTTTTTAACTTAATACTTTCTTCACATTCATATAGGCATTTTTGTACATTTCCCAAAATATCTGCATTAATTATCTTATAACCGGCTGGTTCTAAATATTCATTTGAAAATGTGCTTTTACCAGAACCAGGAAGCCCTACCATAATTATGATTTCACAATTTTCAGAAGGAACCTGAGTTGTCTTTGGCTCATAAAGATTTGAGGAATCTATTTTAGTTTTTGGATTATATTCGGGTGCAACCCATTCGAACTTTTTCTTTCCCTGAAAATGCTCTTCTGGCGTAAAGAAAGAAACTCCAATGTTAAAAGCGAATAATCTGTCAACGCAGGAATGATCTCTTTTTCGTTTTACTGGTAATTTTGTTTCAGGACGGCCAGCCGCATCGCCAACATAAAAACTTCTTTCTTTAGAAATTTCAACACCACCATTTTTATGATCTTGTAAGTAGTTCCACATTCCTTTAAGTTAAATTTCGAATTAAAATTTCAAAATCAACATTTTACTAAAAAATTATCCATACCTGGTAATGGTTTCCTAAAAATTCCTCTTCCAGTCGCAATAAACACTTGAAGAGGAATGTTCAATCTGTTCTGTACAGCCTCTATTTTCTTTTTAAAATCCTCTAACGGAAAATTTCCTTTGCCTATACCCGATTGATTTGTGAAAATGCAAATTTTAAATCCATCTTGTACCAAAAGTTTTAACTTCTTTGGGATTTCTGGCAACATAATTTCCCAATCATTTGTATCCTTTGGAAAAACATTTCCAGATTTGGTTTTAACAATAGTCCAATCTAGATCGTATCCAGCTACTTTTTCTGATGGTACGGAATACGAGCTCGTGTATACAACCAAGTCGTTATTATCAATACATTCCCAAAAGTTACTGATTGCTTCGGAATTTAATGTATCCTTTATTGACGAATCTTTGCTTTTACTTGTGTCAGGAGGAGGTTCAAAGTCTATTTTATAATTATATTTTCCGTATAAAACTTCAATAATATCTCCATGCACAGCCTTAACATTTTTACCATTTTCTATCATAAACCCATTCAAACCACTAGCGTTTGCTCCGTTAACTGGCATAAAAAATGGTAATGAAAGCGTCAACTATCATTTCAAACATACTTAGTGAGCATAAAACATATTTAGTTAGTTTAAATTTCTAGTTTTGCTAGAATTTTAAATATTTGACCTTATAAAAGAATAATAATGAAAATGATTACCAAAAATATTTACACAACATTCATCTAAGTCAACGTCCAAATTTAATTGGTTCTTAGAGCAGAATGCATCTGCAATTTGCGTTTCTCGTGAACGGCCAATAATATTTTTCCCTTCTGTAAGCACAATACTATTGTGATTTTCACTTAAGCTTTTTAACAAGCATTTTCGTTTAACTTTGGCTCCAAAAAATTTATCTATTGACATATTACAATTCTTTATATTTCCTTTATATTTCAAAAATCTAAAAACTTCAAACGAAATTATTAAAAATTTAATATGGTCAATAATATATTGTATTTTCACAAGTTACCTAATTGTACTAATTTCTGTTTATGTTAAGTTAGGAGAACCTCTTATTTAGATATTGCATCTGTATGATATCATGATCTTTAACCCGGTTGAAGAATAAACACGAATGTTCAAAAAGATATATGATTATGTACATATTTATATAAGCCTATTTTTGACAATAGACGTATGATTTTGACAGCCCTTGGTTTTACAAAAAATATCTGCCATCAAATTCATGCAGAAATTTTGGATCAACTGAATTAAGTCCCTAAGCATTAATTCGAAGAAGCTTCCTTAGCAGGAACAACAGACATAATATGCAGTTTTGTGATTTTGATTTGGTCGAGTAAATTATGCTTATTATGCGAAATATAATGTCATATTGTTCCAAATTTTAAAAGCTATGTAGTTTAAAGATAATTTAAGTAAAAAACGGTGTTTTTAATTTTACTTGACATAATATGCTTAAATAAATTAAAACAAAGTAATTGAGGGAAAGAACATGGAACAATATGACAGACTATGTTTTCTATGTTATACATAATCAACAGTTTATATTATGTAAAAGAACATATAGGTAACATTAATTTTTTTTTTAAATGGGCTTTTTTGGCTCAAACGTTGAATGTAATTAGACTCAGAGTTGTTAGAGCATACTCTAACCAAATGAAAAAATAGTTATAATCCAAAAATTCAGATTTTAATACGGATATTGTAAAGTTTACTCCGTCATTTTATAAGTGCCTTCAGAACAAGACCGAAATTAAAAAATAATTAAGTTAAATTTCAACAAATTTGTTATAAAACTCGAGACTATTTGTTAAATAACTTGATTAAAGATAAGTTCTTTGAATTAAGTGGAAATCAACATTTTTGTTAGTATGCAGAAGTATTATTTTGTGTTAAAGGGCGTTTGGACATTAAGTGGAAATCCACTTTAACTCAATGGAGAGTGTTCCAAATTCATTTACACAAAAGTACAAATTTAAATTTAAAACGTTCCCTATTCGAAAACAACTGACATTTACATTTTCGAATTTTCGTAATTTTTTGTTTAGAAGAAAGTAGGGGAATTGTCTTTTGGTTTTTGCATCGATTTATTTGTTGACAATTTAATAAAAATAATTTTAAAAAGGATTAAGCTGTAATTTAAATTAAAATTGTTTATTAACTTACTGATATCGCTATTAGGAAGTAATTTTTACCTTTCTTTAAAAAAGATTTATAGAGTTTGTAAATAAAATTTGACATCATAATACATAAATTAATAGGAAAAATCAATGCAAAAAATTTTGGGATTCGGTATACATAAATAATAGAAAATTTTTTTGTAAGAAAAAATTAATTAAAAAAAAGTAGGACAAAATATATAGTATAAGATACTAGGAACATATCTCAACAATTTATTAAACAGAATGGCTACTGTGGAAAAAGAACATCAAATTGTTAAAGAATCTTTAATAAAGTTTGTTAGTGGTCATATACCGGAAGCCGATTTTAGTGTAGTGGATGAAATTATTTTATCTTACATTATTTCAATTTTGGAAGAAGCCGCCAACGATCCAGGATTTGATATTGACGGGTTTATCGAAATGATGAATGCATATTTTGAAAAGTTTTCTGAAATTAATTCGAGTATTATATGTGAATGGATATTTCAATTAGAGAAGCAATTAACGGAAGAAAGGAAAAGTATTGAAAATCGTTCTTCAACTGACATTCCTTTAACGTAAGTAATACATATATTAATATAACATTTAAAGGTATGTATAAATATATTTAAAGCTTAGGTTCGTTTTTTTTTTAAGTTCATTACATTTCAATAAATTATATAGTCAACAGCAAAGATTGCTAGAGTTGATCTATTTCTTTTATATGTTTATTACAATTACTATTTTTTTTTCTTTTGTAAATTGCACTCTAAACGGCCAAATTTGAACCAAAATGTTTTTATATTATAGCTCTTTGAGTTTATCAGATATTATTCCTGAAGAAAAATTGGTTAACCAAAAGCATGAAAGAGTTAAGCATTTGTCTGAAACTAGTGATGGCGGTTCAACAGACAGTTCAAATTGTGATTTCTTTTCAGAAGAGTGTGACATTCTTCAAGAAATGTTTCCAGATACTTGTTACTTGGAGGTAAGATTATTTTTTTTTTATATTGCTTAACCATTACAAGATCATGATTTTCATTTTTTTTACAATTTTGTTTGATTGGAAAAATTTGGAAATTAATAGTATATAATGCTATTTTAATGACTAATTTAGTCTTCAGTTGTTAAAATTTAATCTTCCCAATCAAATTTGATTTTATTAAAATTTAAAATTGTTACATTTAAGGTTAAGCATTGCATTTCAATTGCAAAAGGGGACATAGATACGGCTACTCAAATTCTTTTGCACAGACAAGAAAATGGACAAAGTTTAAATCAGAACAATTGTGGTCTTCAAAATCCGCAACGTAACGTAATTGATGATGCCGAATTAAAAAATCGTATAATTGCGAGGTAGGTATACATTGCCTATGCAAAAAATATATATTTCTAGCAAATCTTTTGAATATTTTTACAGATACTCCTATGTTGATAAAAATGCGGCAACTAAAGAATATAAGCCAGTTGCCCCTAAGGTTGAACCAAAAAAATTGGTTCGATATCGTGATAATAAAATCGTTTCATTAAGAGGCGAAAGATATACAGAAGTTCATGGTGACAATGAAGCTGATTTGAAAAAACCAAAGAAACCTATACATCCGTAATTAATGGCAATTACTGTATTCAAAACTGAAGTTTCGTTATGACATTACGATTATATAATATTTAAAATAGTATAGTATCTATCTATTAGGTGGCAATTTATCTTCCCTTTGAAAGTAATTCTCTTTACGATTCATTCATATTTAAAATTAAAAAATAGATAACAATAACATATTTTAAAAATTAAAAGTATTGATGTAGTTCTGTGTAGGTAAAAAACTTTTTTAAGTAGTATATCTAGTTCCGTTGGAACAGAGTTAGTGGAAGTAAAAGGTGGCTATAAATAGTCTTATTACTATTTATTTACGATCCAATTTTTTGCTTTTAAATTTATTCATTACCAACTAAATTTTAGCTTTTAACGCAAAAGTAGTTATAATTAATACTTTACAAAAATTTCTATTTTCACAAAACTGAAACAAAAATAATAAAAATGTTCATTGTTTTATGTATTTTATAGTCATTCGTTTCTTGATTCAAAACATATTTGGTCTTTCTAAGCCTCAATAAGTTTTGAAATGCTTAATGCACAATTAGAATACATATTATTATTATTGAATTAATATTTAAAAGCTTTCAAATACAATATATTAACATTAGTTTTTGATAAACGGTGGCTCTCTTAATAATTTAGTTAGTTTTTTATGAAGTATATGCGTATTTAGATGATAAGTCTCTAAATAATATTATGTATGATAAAATAAAATTAAATGAAATTTTAATCTGCATAATAATAAAAAATCATCATTACTATGCTTATTGCATAAGTTACAAAAATTTAAAGGAAAAACAAAATTTATAAACAAATATTTGTTTTCTCAGATATACACACACACATAATTTGCAGTATTTAGCTTGTAATCAATTTTTGTTCATTAATTTAATATTCATTTTTTAAATCAAATTGTCTTATTTTAAATAAGTAAATTTTTGTATGATTTCTGTAATTTTGCCATGGAAATTATTTCTTTTATTATTTTTTGCAAGTTCCTAAGAAGTTTTGAATAAAATTCAGATCTTTAATTTATTAAAAACAATCATTTATCTTTTCATGGCTTTTCATTGTTTATTTTTAATAAATTAAAAATTAAGAGTAAAACATAAATTTGTTCTACAAAGAAAATCGAAATTATTTATGTATTTTTTAAATATTCTAAAATTAAGAATTTTAAGCATAATAAAAAAAGCAAAGTAAATTTAGTAGTACGTAAGTTTTTTAATTGAATGTGATTTATAAAGACATACAGCTCTTCAAAGTTAGGAAAACAAGAAAATTGGATGTTTGTTTTTATTGTGTACATACCTGCTTGTACGAAAATTCAAATTTATTCTTAGTTTTCAAGAAATTATATTTAGTTTTCTTTTTTTTTTTCTTCCTTATAAAATCAAGTTTCTTGTTCTTGTGAGGAAAAATGAAAAATATTAGTTAAGCATGGTTTTTCAGATTTTAATTCTAGCATATTTGAAGAACAAGTGACAAAAATGATAAGGAAAATTTATTTTCAATCGATAATTAATTAATATTTGTTATTGATTTAATTAATTTTGTACTTATTAGAAGTTTCTGCTTTATATTCTACATCATCTTAAAAGTATTTTTTAAAAATTAGATAAGTATGTATCTAGATATATAAAAATCTCGAAAACATTATTAAAAATTTTATAAAATGCACTTGTAAATTCAAATACTCCCTTTGCATTTAAACTACATATTTGTATTTTTAGACTAATAAGCACATTCTTATTTATATACATATATGCTGGTTTATCCGAAAAGTAATGAAAAGCAACATGATGTATAGGAGTTATATAAATTTATTTATACATTTTTGAAATTTACAAAATTAAGGAATATTTTTCTTTTTAAATTAATTGACTTTAAATTACCTTACCATTATGTAAATACCTAGAATATATTATGTACATATATATGTACGCACTATACATAGGGTTTTGTTAGAAATTTTATAAAGGGAGCAATAGGAGAAAGTGATGAAAATAAATTAATTTTCATTTAGTATTGATTTTTTTACTTTTAAACTACACTAATTATTAATTTTGTTTTTAATTTCAAATTGAAAGTACATAGTTTTATTGTGTTTTTAATGAAAATATAGGTTTTTTTTCATAAGACCTGCATAACCTATTTATTGATTTGTCACTTCCATTGAATAAAAACTGTTCCACATAAAACTTTTTCACCATAGTTAAACACCGATATAATCAATTAATATTGCACCATATCTAATAATTGCAGCTATAAAATATTTACTTATCATTGACACAAAAATGGAAAATGATGCTATAAAATAGTTCTTATAAGAAGCACTAAAAAATATATCCCAAATAAAATCAGAAACAATATATGGGGAACACAAAGTTAAAGAACTTGAGACATAAAACTCTTATCAAATAAAAAAAAATGTCTAGTCTAGCTAATGTTTAATAAAGAATGCTCATACAACATAATGTAGTATAGATTATTTTAATTTGTCAGTATTTTTTTCGTTCTTTTTAGTATTAAAACAAGGAAAAAAATTAAAAAAAAAAATAGTTTTTAAGTTAGATAATATGAATTTAATTAAAATTTTAGTGGATTTCAATGAATAAATAAAACAGTTAATACATGTTCATAAATATTGTGCAAAACTATACATTATAATAAAAATATGGTTACATAGAAAGTATAGGCACTTGATGAAAATTTTTTCAAAGTCGGTCAGTATCGTTTTCATAGGATGCATCGTCTAAATTTATGTAAATTATTCTTCAAATAATTAATAATTACGATATGATATTGTATATTTATATAATTATGGCATATTATGGAACTTTTCTTATTTTTTATGAAAAAAAAATAGTTTAATTATGTTAATAAGAATATAAATTAATATATTTTTATTGTAAAAAAAAAATTACTCATTTCTACAAACTACATATTGTATTTCAAATAAAACAATAAACTTTCGTAAGTAATAGTTACATAAACCTATTTTAATAATTTTAATTTAAATATTTGATGTACTTTTCATGAAATAACGCATAAATAAAAAATTGCATTGAAAGTGTTTGTCCATTCTTTAATGTAATGTTTTTCGTCCTAAACTTTTAGTGTTGCAGGTATATAATTGTTTTTGAATTAGTAGTAAAGTTTATGATTTTAATTAAAAAAATTCTGGCTATATTATTCTTAAAATACGAAAAAATATCATTAAAGACTGTTTTTTTTTAAGACAACATGCATATATTTCATTGCGATTATGTACAAATTTACAAAATATAAATCAGATTAATTTTTTTTTATCGTTTCATATAAATCAGTACGTCTTTGGAATCCTACAGGTATTTGTTGTCTGACATTATCTGCCATACTAAAGTCTATAAGAATTCAAAATACAAATGTAAAATATGTGCACCTTTAATACAAAAATTAAAATATTTATTATAAAACTACCTATGTCTGCAACAATCGTTTTTTCATTTTCATCAGCTGATGCTAAAATTTTTCCCCACGGATCAACAACCATAGAATGACCCCACGCTACATAGCTCGAATTTTCATCTCTTGCTGGAGATATAGTTAAAACGAATAATTGATTATCTGAAATATTTTAAGATAATGATAAAAAATTTTAATTACTAATTAAGCTCAATAAGTAAACCATTTGCACGAGCGCGTTGCAATAATTCCCAATGCATCGGACCAGTAGTCATATTAAATGCTGCTGGGTATATTAACATTTTACAACCTTCATTTCGGTAAATTCGAGCCATTTCTTCAAATCGAATATCATAGCAAATTCCAATACCAATTTTATTGCCGAATATTTCGATCATAGTGAAATTGTTTCCAGCAGATAGGGTTTCAGATTCTTTAAATCGTATTCCACCTTTAACATCAATATCAAATAAATGTATCTATAAATTTTTAATATTTTTAAATGTTTATGGACTAATTATGAAAATCTTACTTTTCTATGTTTTGCAATCATATTTCCAGATGGGTCCCACACTGTACAGGTATTGAACAATTTCTCATTATCCTTTTCTGGAATAGTTCCACCAACTATATATATTCCAGTTTCTTTAGCAGTTTGAGAAAGAATTTTACTAGTATATCCGTCAGGAATAGTTTCAGCGTATTCCCTGATATATTTAAATTAAATTATTTAAGTTAATAGGTTTGATCACATATTTAAAAAAAAGATTCGTGCAAATCATTTTAAGTTACAAAATTTTCGAAAAAAAACATCGTAAAAAGAATTACTACATGGGAATATCGCAATGCTTAACTATACAATAATGTAATGTATAATACATACATTTCTTCCTTAGGTGTTAAATTAATATTACATGCTTTCAATTTACACTTTGTTCTAAGTGATAAACCTAATTGAAATTTTTAATTTTGTAACTTGAAAATATTTTCACATAATCTTCTTTAGTATTTACGCAAAATATTTGGTTCCATAAGGTGAATTAAAACATTCAGGCAAAGCTACTAATTCTGCTTTATGTTTCAAGGCTACTTCCTTAATTTTAGATACGGCATTTTCGACATTTTTAATTTTATCAACACCACCTTGAAGTTGCAAAAGCGCTACTTTTAAACCTGAAAGCGATAATACAATAATATATCTATATCTTCGATTGATTTACACTTACGTACAATTTTGAATTTTAGACATACTGCACAAAAAATTGAAAACAATATTGCTATATTTTTACAAGTTTTATTAATTGAATGTTTGAAAATGAAAAAAAAAAAATTGTGATAACAAACAAATGGAATCAGCTGATTATGCCAAAATATAAAGATTTTTTCACAGTGTTTCCAGCCCCAGAAAAGTCTTAATTTATTTATCTAATAAACTGCATTTATTATTCGTCTGTATCTTCATATTACAAGAAATAACACAGTTATTTTTTAATTGAAGTTTTAAATTTGCTGGCTTTTCATTTTTTAATAAATCGATTATTTTACAATGGTTTTATTTTATTTGTTTGAAAGTGTAGCAAACTTTTCCTGTGAGATATGTGATTGTAATTTTTTTTATATTGTTAAAAATGCCAAATAAATTCGTGAACTAACTCGATGAATCGCACTTATTGTTATATTATCTATGATGAATCGTCAATGAATTTAATAAAAATACAAATTTAAATAAACTACTTTAAAATTTTTGTAAGAGAGTTAAAGTAATATGCGGATTCTCAATTTAAAATTTCTTACATATTTTTTCTCGATATTTGAGATATTACATTAAGAAATTTTAATTCAAATCAGATGGAACAGCTAAATGTTTTTCATTATAATTGCTAAATTTAACAGCACTTTATAAGGATGCAACGGTATTAACCATTCTTGAATTAGTGTCAAAAATATTCTGGTACTGTCCTTTAACAGATAATAAGTTAAGAGAAAACAAATCGAGTGCAAATTAATTTTATATTAATCATAAATAATAAAATTAGTGTTATTAATTATAATTAATATATAATAAATTTTAGTTTTACTTATTGATGTAACTGGTATTGTTTTAAAAGAGATAGCTGTACTGTCGCTTAAACTTTACGTTACAGGTGTTTTCGTGCTACACCATAAACCCAGCCATTTATTCTTATCATATGAGTTTTTTTTAGTGAGTGAATTTTTTTAAATGTCATATATCTTATTTTGTTTTTTGTTTATCAACACAACACTTCTGTTAGTGCTGTCTTACCTAACAGATAAAGTATTAATTTTAATTAAAATTAATGTACATATTTATTAATTTTGCTTTTATTTAGATTAATCATGTTTAATTAAAATTATCGGTCATCTATAAATCTGTAAATAGTTAATATTTTAATTTTATATTTAATTTTAAAAGTATTTATTTATTTTTGTTATAAATTAGACTATTATAATAGTCATAACCACATACATCTACCTAAATACACGTAAATTATTGTGTTAAAATTGGAAATAATAAATATGGATGAATTTTGTGATATGATCAACACTTATGGTGGAAGAGATAAGGTAAATACTTTAGGAAAATATCACTTACTTAGCTATAAGTTCAAAGAATATAAAACAATTAATTAAAAACAAATACCCTCGAAGTGCTATATTGACGGGCGTAAAAAATTCATTCTTAAATACGTATTATGTGGGTTTATAATTACTTTCACTTTTTTGTTTCTATAAATTTAAAGCATAATTATATGTGCCAATAAAAAAATTTTAAATATTAGATAATCCAGAACAGGTAGAAAAACAAGCTAAATTTTAAATGTTTAAAATGTAGTTTCTAACTAGAAAAGTCTACGTAATATCTATTCAAAAATCGGGTTTCTATACTTAAGTATTATATTGTGTCTAGAAGAAAAAGTCGTAAAATTCAAGTACATATCTACATTTTCACGTACCTAGTTTGTTAAATATTGAACCAGATTCTAGTTCACATTTAGTTTATTTATTCAAAGTAGGATTGGAATTAAAGAATGTGTATTTGCATAATATACACGTGTATATGTATGTAGCTATGTATGTTTAACTTGATTTATGTGCGCATATTATTGTAATTGTAAATACAAAACGACTTTTAGAATTTCATACAATCTTTTGAATAATTTACTATTGCCATTTGAATAATTTTGAATATTAAACAATACTATAAATTTTGCGATTTCGGTTTTCAAGAAAATAGGTTTTATAATTGCTTTAAATTATATTTTTGCATTAGTGAAAAAATGCTAACCAGTTAATAGTTTATATTTTCGCTTGTCATATGTTTATATTTTAATATATGTATATATTATGGTGTTATTATTGGATTATGTAGTTTGCTTACATTTAAACTATGTTATCTTATCAATAAAAATTGATAAAGAAGAAATTTCCTAATTTGAACTTATTATTTAGGAAAACCTTTTATATTGGAATGCAAAGTAAATATGACTACGATAATTTTTAATATGTATGTATGTATTTTCACAAATAAGGCTATTGGAAAAATTCAAATTTTCAATTAAAGAATAGTACTTAGGTTCAATAAAAATAATTTTATATTAAACTTATTTAGTAGAGAATTTCTAATTTCAATTCTAAAATAGACTTAGGAGCAAAATAATTTTTTTATAAATTTTACTTATTATAAGTAATAGTATGTTAGACTGTTAAAATAATCAAATAAATTTTCAATAATTTGTGATTTGGTAGATGCATAGGTCCTATGTCCTTTATAATACAAACTAAATAAAGCTTGATATTACAATTTTATACATTAGTTCCATAATTTTTGATTTTATTAGACTATAAGTTACGATACAAGTAAAAACCTGAGTTAATATTTAATTTTTGAAAACGATAAATTTATAAATTTTTTATAAAATTATAGCCAAAGCGTTTTAATTTTTGTAAGTTCTTAATATTTAAATAGAAAATGACTATGACATTTTTAAATTTTTATTAAAAATTTAAATAGGTAGGTAGGTTCTTTTAAACTTCTCTAAAAATCTTTTTCCAAAATTTTTTAGAAAGCATCTTTAGAGTTATTTACTGCGTATACTGATATTATTAGTTTTAATTTTGTTTTTTTTTTTAGGTAATGAAAATTTTGTGTTATTCAGCCAAGTTAATTTCTGGCGTACAAATAAAAAACAATCCAGAAATGTCAAGAAAATTTGCAATAATAAGCTCAAAAATATCAGGAGCTCGAGCGACATTAAGACTGATAGATGGTACGAAAACAAAAACTTTCTATACTAATTTTTTTTCATTTAAAATTATTTTTGTATTGAATTTTCTAATTTACTACAATATAATTTTGTTACTTCTTCATATTTCCATTAAACAGATGTTCCTACTTTACAATATATCATGGAATATGGATTAGGAGAACACGTGAGTATACAAAATTGTAATCCTTGTAAAACATTTTTTTTTACAGTTTTTCATTTTTTATTTTAGGAGCATGATAAAACCATGGCAGCTTTAGGAGTTTTGAGCAATATTGTTGATTTATTTTATTATCCTGTAGAAAAAATGTGTTGGTTAATTGAACATAAAGTTTTAAATGTAAAAAATCCAGATAAATGGGATGTGATAAGTTCGACTTTCTGGGTTTCATCAATTTGGTTAAATTTAGTAAGGTAATAAAAATAAAATATGTACGTATATTAATCAAACGAAAGTAACAATAACGGAGTTATGATAAAAATGGGGATTAAGTTTTTAAATTATGTTAATTATAGTGTTTTGATTGTTTACCTTTGGATCAAAAAAAGTGTTGCGTACATTTGCCATAAAAATTAAGTCATTTAAGTTTAGTTAAGCTCAATCGTTCATTAGCATATATTTTTTTTTTAATATTTTTTGAGTAGTTATCTATTTAGATAAAAAAACTTTTATTATTTTTCTTTTCAGAACATTACGAAATATTTCAAATATGGAGGACCATTTCATATGCATGAAAAAAAATGATAAAAATGCAGAGTAAGTGTATTTTGATCAGTCTCTTGAAATTAAAATTATATTTATTTCTGTTCAAGGGAATTACTGGAAAAGTTTATGATAAAACAAAAAATGGAAATTCTTTCTGCTCTTAGATTATCGTTAGATTTTACGTATGCTGTAAATACATTACCGAAGGGCTATTTATGGGGAGGAAAATTAGAAGTTTGGCAAGCTGGTTTAATAGGAACTTTATCATCCGTAATAGGAATTTATCAGTATATAAAGAAGAAAAAAATGCCTTAAAAGTGTTTTTGCTTAAAAGTTTACTTATTAAGTTTAAGAATTTTATGATTAATTTGAGTAACTGCGCATTTTTCTTGATCTAAAATAAAATTTTATCTCTGGTATATTATGTTTGTAAAAAAAAAAGTTGTAAACTGGATTATATTTTTATTAAATTAATATTCATAAAATTTAAATAATATCAAATTGTTTGTCCAAATACAATATTTTTTATTTTGAATTTTGTTTACATATGCAATAAATTGTATTGTATTATGTAATGGAAAATTTATTACAGTTTATGTATGTTTAGAATTTTATGTAAAATTTAATATTTTAATAACTTCTCACTTTTCACATGTTGCAATATTATGAACTATTAAAACTTATGTTTAGATTTTACAAATTTATAGCATAAAGGCGTTTGAATAACTAAATTATTTTCTTTTATTTTTTAAACCGTAGAAGAATAAATAAAATGTAATATTCTTTGAATCAATGAAATACTAAGGGTTTAAACAACTTTTATAAATTTTTCGTCTAAATATTTGAAATGGATACCTATTTTAATATATCAAATTTTTCAATTCTCTTATGCTTATTTATGAATAAGAGCACCAGCAGCAAACATGGCAACTCCCAGAACTCCAGCTCCAATTTTATAATTGGCTGGGGTTTTTGACCAAACTTCTTTCAGTATATCAATATTAGTTGGGACAGATTTTTCAAATGACTTACTATTTCTAAAAGATTTTAAATATTTTTCGATATAAGGTAATTTTCCATTACCCCAAAAATAGTTTTCATAACCTAAAGTATATAAACGATAAAGAAATAATCCCAGATTTATATCATCTATTGTTAAATAAGAACCACATAAAAACTGATTTTCTATGTCTTTTCCTAACTCATTGTCAATGATTTGCAGAGTGTGGCTTACACAGTCCAATAGTTTTTGAAATTCTTCGCGGTTTTCTGATATTTTACGGCGTTGATTTTGTTGTTCTAGCTTTTTTGATAATACAGTCGATGAAATGTTTTCGTTGTCGATAGAAGACTTTAAAATAGATGTAACTCTTTCATTATTGTCTAAAATAGTTTAAAAAGAAATAAATATATTCAAGAGATTGAAAAAAACTTTCATAAATGTATATTTTACTAAAAATTAATTTATATTTCAACTAAAATATGTTTTACATTACCTAGCAATTATAGGTACTTACTTAAACAGGTTTTCCTAGCTGGTCCAATGAAAGGTGGCTTGGGATTCAGTTGCAAATCTTCATGTATGAAAGATCCCAGTGCTAAAGCACCAATAGGTAAATTTTTTAATAAATTTTTAACAACTTTCAGTTTTTCGCTCTGGACAGTAGGGGATTTTTGAAACAGCATACAGTTTTTGTCTAAAATAAAAGACATATAATTTAATAATACATTTTTTCAGCGATAAATTTCTACATTTTTTTTACAGATTTATTTAATTATTTGCTAATTCCAGAAGGTAACGCAATAATTCAAGCTTTATGATTTAAGTTTGTTGCAAACAGCAAACATGCGGTATGTATTATTCGTTTTATATCGTTTCTTTTTATATTGTTAGAAAGGGCGAAAGACATGCATATGTACATTATGTACATATGTATGTATTTTTCTTTAGGCTTTAAAATTAAACTTTTAAAATAATAAAAATTATAATCCGATTTGACTAATTTTAAAGTGCGAGCTTGTACATAATGAAAAAACTTTAGCTTTGTCTTTGGATTTATGCGCTTGTAGCTTACCCATCGCTTAGCTTCATATGTAATACACAGTATCTGTAGGTATACACAGTATACCTATAAATAATACGGATTTAGAATATAGATTTTGGTAAAGGTTATCCAATAGCACTGCGCATATCTTCATAGATGAACAAATTAAATAATTTGTATTAAAAACAATTCTGTGTTTATTACGATGCGTATATTTAACAACTTCGGAGATGAAACGATATAAATTTTTCGACAAATAGAAATTAGTTTCTTTTTTTTCAGTATATTCAATTATTTTGTTACAATGTTACATATAAAATGTCGAACTATCTATATTTTGCGTTTATAAAAATGTACGTTCCTCGAGAAACATAGTTACCTGTTTGATATTTAACTTGTATATAGTTAATTATATTTGATGAATTTGGTATAACAAAACATCCATCTTGCAATACTGGTACATCTCCTGTCGGGCTTAAATCTAGAAACCAGTCCGAATATTGTTCTCCTCGGGATAAGTCAACAATGTATGGAATAAAAGGAATATTTTTTTCATTTAAAACAAATAACACCTAAAATAAATTATTTGCAATCACTTATTACAATCACTTATTTTCTAAATTAAAATAACAATTTAGTAAAATATTGTGCACTTAATTCTGAGTTAAATTTTATTAATGAACAATTTTATGTTATAAATGTATTTGATATGCAATTACATATTTATACATATGTATGTAAACTTTAACTACAGTCTGATTCTTAATTTTTCTAAATATGTTTTTTTATTATTGTATCATAAATTAAATAATAAACAATAAGATTTGTAGCTTTTATAAAATATTTAATAAATCTAGAATTACGTGTTGGAAATTAATTTTACATTTATTTTTTTACATGTTTATTAATAATTTGGAGGCAGATTTACAAGTACTTAATGCATCTTTTACTCTATTTATCTAAGATTAATGTTGATGTTAACTACTCATCCAGTTATAACTTTTGTTGCCTAAATCGAAAATCATTAAATTGTTTATGTGCAGTAATACGAACATACATATGTATATCATATGAATCTTCAATTTATATTATTTTAATAGTGCTAATTTTCCAAATATGTGTATATGTATATCTAGTTTAATCACGTTAGATAATCTAATTTAAATTTTGTGATGTTAAAAAAAAGTGTGTGTTTGTAATTAAATTTATGGTTGAGCTTGCCGTCATAAAATAAATAAAAAAACTTACGATGTACCTAATATGTGTAGCTCTAACATATAAAATATGAATTAAAAATGAATGGTTAATAAAAAACAATCTATTCTTTAGGTATAGAGATTAAGTGTGACATTTCTATTAAAACAAATAGTGGAATAAATTTCACAGTGCATAGAAATATTGTTCATGGATTTCATTTTTGTTAAAAATCGGAAAAGAGGAGTTGTTATGAAGTAAGAAAAAATATGACCAAACAATTGGTAAAATTTTAAAATTTGATAATTTTTTCAAAGAAAATGTTTAATATTCTTAGTTATTTATTTAACACATTAAGTTTAGAATTATAATTAAACTTTCGATGCGAATATTATTGTAGATTTGGTAAGCCTTAATTTAATATCATAATAAAAATCAAATAAAAATGATCATGTCACGTGAAAATATATAGTCAAGAAAAAAATTTTCATTTCGTTGCTTTGTAATATGAAAATAATTACTTTGTATAAATTTTTTAATAATAGTTTTCATAATCAAACATAAATAGAATTAATTCTATCGCACTATACACTAACAAAATATATTATATGTAAGTGTATGTATAAAAAAATGAAATAAATTTTACTTTACCTTTTGAGAGTAAAAATTGTATGGATGAAAATAAAAAATAAGCCCTTCTTCTGTAAATTCTGGTTTTTTAAAAATATCCATAGCAACGGAAATAGTATCCTTTAATCGTATTATATCTGTTCCAAAATTTTAAATCAAAAATTCAAATATTTAATTATACAAAATATAAATATTAAATAACTAACAATAATATAGTAAAAAATCACTCTAAAGGGATGTGATTCATTTAAATGTTCGTTATATACTGAGATTTTATTAATATTCAAATGTATAAAAACCTTAATAGTCATATTCGAGTTCGTACCACTGAAAAAAATTTTCAGTGATAATGACTGTGAAAATTATAAAATTAGTTATAATGATATAAAAATTATTAAAAATGAGAAAAATAATCAATTTAAGCATTTGATATCGAAAAGAAATATTGGTATATTGGTACCGATATTGAAATATTGGTACCGTTATAGTAAATATGTGTATATTCAAATAATACAAATATGTGTATTTAGAAGTAAAGTCAAGAAGTGTCTTTAGTGTTATATTTTTTTTGAAATATCTGACCTTATATACATATTATGTTTTTCAAAATAAATATTTGATTTTGAGTATAAATATTTTTTGTTTAAATTTAGCAATCTAAGAAATAAATATTTATTTTGCAATCGGTTAACAAGAATTTATACAATTATTTTAATTTAGGCCATATACAACTTTAAATTACAACTTTATAAAAAAAATTTATTTTATTGAGAATTAAACTTTTTTTAATTCATTAGAAAACAGAGAGTAGTACAAAATATAAAAATTTTCAATCGCATTCATTTGCATTTTAGTATAGGTAATTAATTCCGGCAAATTAAGAAAATTCATTAAATGATAGTTTTAATACTCAAACCTTTAAGACATTTCTAGGCAATTGAAATAAAAAAAAATTTTAAAATATTTGCAAACTCTTCAACGAATACTAGCAGAAAATATAAGATAATTCTAATCAAAATGAGTTAAACAATAAGTTTTGTTTTGAAAAAGTTTTGCTAATTTTATTGTATAAATTTAAAATAATATTCAAATTTTCAAATTTAATACTGAAGAATAAAGAATCAAGTGTAATTTGAAAATATGGGAGGTTTACACAAAAAGTTTACTGTACTCACACACTGTAATTAAATGTATTCATACAACAATTGTTTGTTTTTTTTATTTTTCAGAAAATATATTTACAATTTTGACATATAGTAACGTTCATAGTTATTTACATACTGTTATACATAAACTGTTTATAAAAATGTAAACAATCATTTTACTGCCTTCTGTCATAATAATAAATCATTTTCTATAATTTAACCATGTGCTGTGTTCAATACAAACAAAAATTGTAAACAAAAATATTAAAATGCTTTCTTATTTTGGACATGCTCTTTAATTTAAGAAAATTTCGAAAGCTTTTTATATTTTCTATAAGCTTTAAAAATATTTAATTTAAACTTTATAAAGTTTAGAGAAAAACTAATTCATGCGCTATTATTTTTTTTTTTGAAGCCAGTTCTTTGAGGAATATAGAATTTGTTAGACGATTTTAAAGAAACGTTTACGGAAAAAGAAAATATATATATATATATATACATAATTGCTGTGTAAAAATTTCTAAATTTCATTTTCTTTCTTTAGGATTTTAAAAGTTTATTTAAACAAAGAAAATTAAATTTATTTGATTTGAAAGAAAAAAATACAATAAGGGAATAATTAAAATCGAAAATATAATAAAATTGAAATAAAGAAAAGAATATACACATACATGTATAAAATAATGTATTAGATAACAAAAATTTTCTAATTGAGTTAATTAAAATAAATTAAATGAAATCCTGAAAAAAAGTGTATACTATTATAACATTAAAGTGAAGAAAAAATAAAATTTTTCTTTGTGGCCATAATTTTCATATTAATAAAATTTTAAAATATTTAACAAAAAATTATTTTAAATCATACTAATTTATTAATTTTTAAATAATAATATAATTGCATTTATTAATGTTCAATTTATGATTAATTAAAAATAATTTTTAAATTTAATTTTAATACAAAATATTTTTCTAAAAAATTATCCTTTTTTAATTGTGCTATTCTTATATACATATATTTTATTAATATTATTATATTTTCAAAAGGTAAGTACACTATATATTAAGTACAAATATTTTACTTTTTAAAAAGAAATTAAATAAAAAAAATAATTGATGTGAAATGTAGATTTTGTTAAGCAGACAGTTTGGTGACACTTAAAGTATTTTAGTAAAAAAAAAAAAAATAAAAAACAACTTTTCTTAAGATAACGCTCTATATACAAAAGGATAATAAGATGATGAGAAAACTTAAGTTTGCCCATTTACTTTATCTACAATAAAAACAAAAAAAAAATCGAAAATTTTGCATATATTTAGGAGTTTTACATGTATACAACGGATTATACGAGTAGTATTAGAAAACAAAAGTTTTTGAGAAAGTTTTTATTTTTTGTTTTGCTTCTTTTACTCAATTATTAAATATTTATAATTTTTTATATATATTCATATGTATATATAAAATTCAATATTTCAACAAAGTATGGTTTGATATTTCGTAAACAAAAATTTTGTCGTCGAATTTTTGTAATTAATTTCGTAATAATCCTAATAACTATGAAGTCGAAACTCGTATTAGTTTGTATAAATTTTTATGTTAACTAGTTATTTTGATTATTTGTTGGTATTTCAATAAATAAAATTAAAAAATTTACAAATTAAATATGAATAAATAATAAGGTTTTCAAATCGAAAATGTGTTTGATCAAAATAAAAGTATTTCATTCCATCTCAATCTCATTAAGTGCAGTTATGGTTTGCTCAAAAGAATTGAACTGTTTATGAAAATATTTGTTATCGTATATGTAGTATCGTATATGTATCGTGTATTTACCAAGTCCATAATTGTATATCTACATAAAACTGATGAAACGAACTCTTTTAATTCTAACTCTCTTTATTTCAGAATAAATACAACATTTATCGATTATAATTTACATTAACTTGTAAATATTTAATACTGGCCTACAAAATAGTTACTTTGTAATATATAATTATATATGTATTTAAAAAACATTACAAACATTGAAATTATTTAGCTCTTTTATGTTTTGTATTTGTTATTTAAAGTAAGAGGGAGAAAATTAATTATACAATGTTAATTAAGTATAACGGGTGATTTTTGTTTTTTGATTTGTCTAGTTTTCATTCTTAACATTTCATGAGTAGTTAACGTCTAGTCGACTCAATACGCTTTACCATTTCACTATGGAGAAAGTAACACTTAAATAATATTTTCAAATTCATTAATTTATATTCGACAATTCATTCAATCTTCTAAATTATTTAAAATTATGGGAAATCTCTTGGTATGGTCGATATATACTGCGCCTTTTAAAAGTAGTATTGACGTTTATAGCTTTCAAAAAATATGGCAACAAAAGAAATATGCAAAAAGCGGCACAAAGTTGTAACCTTTGAAGAAGTGACCGCAGGGTTGAAAAGATAAGCCACAATTTTTCGTGGTCGTAGCCACAATTTTTATATAAAATTGTATTTCAAAAATTAATACCAACGATTGATTTATCGATTTGAACGAAAATTATACAGAAAGTTTTGGATTTTTTTTGTTTTTCTTTGGATTTAAAAAGCAAATTTTAGAAGAATAGCACATTATAATGTCGCCAGTGTAAAATATTTAACAAAACATTGTAAAATATAATTGATTAAAAAAATTTAAATTTGTTTATTAATACCCATTAAGATGCATCCCATCACTCTGATTCCGAATTACCAAATAGAGCTTCGGGCACCATGTATAAATATATCTAAGTAGAGATGTAGTTCATACTCTATGACAATTATTGTATTTACAACGTTATAAAACGATTGTGTTTTTACCTTAGTATTTTATACATGTTAATATTCAGATTTCTTTAATTGAGAATTTTTAATCGTTTCCAGAAATTAAAGGGCTTCTTTCGGTTTAGAGAACGTGTTTTATTTTTAACTTGTTTTTTTTTTTTTTGTTTGCTATATATACTGTTTATAAAAGTAGAAGACACGCATATATAGTCTTAAATTTTTTTCTCTATGAAACACGCTAAGTATCGATATTTTATGTAATAAAAGTGAAAGATAGTGAAAATAAATTATATTTAAGTCAAATATATTTATATATATTGCAATGTGTAAACATATCGAATAAAATATGGTTAATCGACGTGTTTGACAAAAACATGCAAAAGCAAAATTTCTTTTTATTGCAAAATGTAAATTTTTTTAAGATTACTAAAGGTGTTAATCCATTTAATTAGATATTTTTTTGCAAAGAAATTTTCGAGCAAAAATTATTTTTTTCCAGAAAATAGTTATGGGTTACGTAAACACTTTAAGTTATTAGTTCCATTTAATAACATGTTTACCAGACTAATTACATACAGAATAACTCTACAAGGTATACGAATTCATCTAAATTGAAGATTTGGATTTTAATAGATTCTTTAAGGGAATCGGGTGAATTAGATTGTAATTGTTCGCTCAATAACGGCATAGTAATCAAGGGGTAGTGTAGAAAAACGGGAAATTTGTGCTATTTAGGGTGCAGTCCAACTAACCAATATTAATTCATACGGGATTTTTACAGGATTTCTATAAAGCGTTTTACTCTTTACATTATTTTTTAATTCTTATATAAACGTTTTTTATTCTGTCTTAATAAGTTTTTTCCAAATTTAAGGGAGATGAATACAATCTATAAATATGGAAAATATGAAAATATTCAATTTTTATAGATCGATTTCCATTAATTATAAATTATTATTAATTATAATGAAAGAAGACATTTTGTTGTAGCTCAATATTTATAAAGTAGAAATCATAGAGCATTTTTAATATTGTAATTATTCGAAGTATAAATAGATAATCATTAATTTATGAAAGTTATAAAAATATTTAATACAAACTTGGAAATTTTTTTACTACATTAAATTTTTTGTTCAAAATTATATTGTGGATTTTGTTCATAAATGTATCTATTGTCTATTTTTAAGCATAGTCATGTCATTTCAGTTATTGTATTTTTTTTTCTCTAATTTATTATTAGTAAAAATTATGCTTACAAATTATTGCGTGTCGTTGCTATATTTTTTAGCATTTTTATTCTTTGAGTATACTTGAGTACAATTTTTGTACACTTAATTTTTATAATTTTTTCGAAAAAGTACTAAAACAAAATGTTTAGTAACTTCATTTTGTTTGTCTGTCCGTGTGACTGTTTACAAAATTTTTACACATCAAGGCAGAAGAGAGAAATTTTAGATAAAAATAAATTTTTGCTAGAAACTCTTTTCTCTAGAAGAATAAATTTTTCTTACCTCGCGTCCTCTTCTTAAAGTAATAGCTCTTTAAATTCGTAAAAAAGCTATTTTTTGACTATTAATCGAAACAAATATTTTTTAAAATTTACAAGAGCGAAAAAGCAGTGACTGGCTTCTTCTACAGCGATATCGCAAAGTCAAACATTACGATTAAAATAACTGTTATATGAAACCCGTTACTTTTTCAACTATTTGATATTGTTTGCCTTTTAGACGACAATATGTAGAATTATGAAACTTTTAGCAGCTTTGGGAAACCATTAAATAATTTATTTCATTAAAAGAAAAACAGAAATATAAATTTTATATTTGATAAATTTTTTCCACTTGTCTCTCTACTTGTTTGCCTTTCGAAATTAGTAAAATCTAAATTTTGGGTGGTTAATAGAAAAAAAAATAATTGTAAATTTCATGCCATCAAAAATTTAATTATTTATTTTAACTTCCTTATTCAACCGTCGAATTCGACTATACGCTTTTCTCAAAGTTTCCTTGGTATTCGCAATATATGCAATAAAAATAGCTGTCCAGAGTGCTTTTTAAAAAAAGTATTTGCATTTGTTCAAGGGAAACTTGCTGATTTACAAACCATTAGTTTGATTCGAATTTATTTTTCATTAGTTCAATAACATGCAAAATATACAGTTAATATAAAAAGTTCACTTATATTAGTTCACAAAAATTTTTGTTTTTGAAAGCACGAAAACCGTATATACATACAAAGGATATACATATATTATACCAATTTGTATAAACACATAAATGATTGTGAAAATAAATATCGAAATACATAATGTATGTATTTTCTTTTATCTATTGAATAATGTATACTGGGCCATCTGTATATAATTCATACTCATATCTGAGCTGGTTTTTTGAAAGTGGTATAAGTCCACTTTTTAAAAAGACTAAGTTAATGGTGATTTTGATGAGCTATAGACACTTTACCTCCACAGTTACAATCACAATTTCAAATAAAACAAACAAAATATGTTATTATGGTCTATTTTTAAATTAATTCAAATGGAAAACCTTAAATATCACAATATATGAAAAAAATGAATTTATACCACTTTAAAAAAAAAACAGCTCATATATTAGTATGAGTTATATACAGATGTTCCGCCCAGTTTTATGCAATTTTACAAAATAATTAAAATATATATGGAAAATGTACGTTTAAATTTCATTTTATAAAATTTGTTAAAGATTTTTAATGGGTGGATTTGTTAAGGATAAAAATTTGAGATATAATTATGATGGTATGTTCATTTGTTTAGTATTTGCTTTTATGCATAATATTGATTTGATAAAATCATTAATGAACGGCAACATAATTAAGTTTTATTAACCATAATAAATTTTCTGTAAATGACTTACAATTTTTTTAGTGATGAATATGATATTTGATTATTAGAATTAATTACTAGGATTATAAATTTAAATGATTTATCTAATTTCTCTTACTACGCCTAATTCTGGTTGAGAATAGACATAGAGCTGACAATGATAAATTTGTGTTATTCTTACGATTTACTGAGTTTGCTTTTAGTTAAATAATAAATATAATTTGAATTTATACAAACTCGAACATACTTTTTTAAAACATTGTTTTAGTTATTTTCATTTATAAATCATAATAAATGTAGTAATAGAAATATAAAAATAAATTAAGATTTTTCGATAAAATACTAATTAAGAAAAAAATAGTTATGTTGAATGTTCGAA